TAAAACTCTCATTATCAATTTTACCTTAAGAACGTGTTGAAATGATTATATTTTAGAAATGTTGGATTTAAAATATTAAGGTTTTTTAAAGAGTAGCTTGAAGAGGATGATATTTAGTTCAAAGTAATAAAACTTTAATAGTAGGACTACCAAGGTTGTAACAGGGCCATTATTTATAGTGGCGACTTTTATAGCCTTCAAATACCATCCTGAAGGATACCAGCTGTATGTACATCTGGTCACCTAGCCTAAGGCTGAGCAAACAGAAGGCGGGAGACCAGGCTTCCTGGCACTGTGCATACTTGGGTAAGTCACACATTCTCTTCTTCATTTTTCTACCTATAACCTTATTGTAGGTTTCATTTATCGGGCAGCAATAGAGAAATAGAAAAAAACCTTCCATTATACTTTGTGTAATTTAATTATACAATTCAATTATAATTATATAATTATACATTCAATTATCCTTCTATGACTTTCAAGTAATAACTTAGGAATACCTTACTGATTGGAATAATAAAGTTGTGATAACGTGGCTAAGAAAAAATTATATGACCTTGTGATGGGTAATATTATGTGTCCACTGGCTGGACCACAGTGCCCAGATACTTAGTCAGACATGCTTCCTGGATTTTTCCATAAGGGTGATCTTTTCAGATGAGATTAATGTTTCAATCAGAGAGCTCTGAGTAAAGGAGATTGCCCTCCATAATGTGGGTGGGCCTCATCCAATTAGTTGAAGGCCTTAATAGACCAGATTGACCTTCCCTGGGCAACAAGAATTCCCCCAACAGACGTGGCCTGAGGACTTAACTGCCTGCCAAGTTGGCTCCACTTTGACTCTCCAGTCTACTGACACACCCTGCGGACTTCGGATTTACTGGTCTCTACTGCGTGAGCTGATTCCTCAACACAAATGTCTCTATTTCTCTATCTATCTATTTTCTATCTATGTATGTGTCTATCTATCTATATATCTCCTTTTGATTCTGCTTCTCTGGAGAACCCTGAGAAATATAAACCTAAAAGTTGTAAAAGGGGGGAAAGTTGTCCCTGTGAGCAGCTGACCTGTAAAGAGAGAACTGAAAATTGAAAGAAAACCCATAAAAACCACAACATACAAAACACAAATCAAATTAACTGGGCCAACACAATCTAAGGTCAGCATCACAAACTATCCAAGCCCAAATTCTTTTATTTCCTTTTTTTTTTTTTTTTTTGTTTACCTTTTAACATCTTGAGGCACATATTCAATGAAGGGGAGTCATCCTTTATTTCCTTTTTAAAATTAAGAAATAATATACAGAGCTTCACTCTTGTTGCGTAGGCTAGAGTGCAACGGTGTGATCTCAGCTCACTGCAACCTCTGCCTCCCGGGTTCAAGCGATTCTCCTGCCTCAGCCTTCTGAGTAACTGGGATTACAGGCACCTACCACCATGCCCTGCTAATTTTTTGTATTTTTAGTAGAGACAGGGTTTCACCATGTTGGCTAGGCTGGTCTCAAACTGCTGACCTCAGGTGATCCACCCACTTCAGCTTCCCAAAGTGCTGGGATTACAGGCGTGAGCCATAGCACCTGCCCCCAAACTCAAATTCTTCTGTAACAGTTTTTTCAGGCCATGTGAATAAAGATGAAAGATAAACTGATCTAACCATAACTCTACATGAATTCACATATTCCAAAGATAAAATCCCTGTGAAAACCATCCTGTGAATAACCCCAGATCCCCCACACTCCATAAATATGCTTCCCTAACTCTCTCCTTTTGAAATACTTTGTTCCATTGATTTGTTCTTCTTAACTGTAGCAAGTTAATAATCTAACTTTGTTTGGCTACAACTATGGCCCTAGTGGTCTTTAGCTACTGGATTTTAGCAAAATTTATAAACATGAAAATTCTTAAGCATGAGACAGAGGATTATATAAAAAATTTCTGGAATCTTTATTTGGGGGTCCCAAAAGCAGTGCCTGAGACAGGGCCTTGGGTGAAGGTAGTATAATTAAGACATGTTTCTATAAAATAGGAGTGAGGGAGCAGAAACAGTGAGACAAGGTGGAAGAAAATTCAATACAGAGTTATTACCAAGATTGCTACTGTGGACAATGAGCACTCAACTCTGCCAGGACTCTGTTCAGAATACCTTAGGGAATTGTCTATCCAAAGGCTGGACCAGGGCATTTGCCGTCAACTGTCATCCTTGTTTGATTCAAGGTTGCCCCTGGGCTTTGTGTACTCCCACGGCTTTGAAGAAAGCACAAAAGCAGAAAAGTATGGAGGAAAGGGCACCAATTTAAAGTGGAAGAAATACTCAGAATGAATTAAAATGTCTGTGACAGCCACCAGTAAAGTCAGAAGTGGGCCAAGGAGGTGTGACACTGGACACAGAACATCTGTTCCACCCAGTTTTGGGGAGTGGAGGGTGGTAAAGGTTTGAAAAATCTTGGATTCATATGTCTCTGTTGCATTTAATATTACCATATACTGAAGGCTTACTGTTCATCCTCTAATATAATAATACATTACTTACATAATCCTTAAAACAAGCATCTGGGTTGATGGCCACTGTTCAGACTAGGAAACTGAGGCGCAACTAGGAGTTACATAATTTGCTGATCACTCAATAGTAAATGACAGAGTTCAGACTTGAACCCAGGTCTCTCTGACTTCTCAGTCTACTCTTTCACTCCTGTTAATGAAGACTGTAACCCAACCAGGCAGGCATGAACGGGTCCAGGCAAGTAATAACTGATACTGGGAAAAGGAGGTAATTTTGCACAAATCAAGTTCTCCTGTGTACTTCTGTTTTTTCCAGATGAAACAGGCAACAGTATAACACTTGCCCTTCAGAAATCAAGGGCTTTCAGTTAAGGCACAGGATCATTTGCTTTCAATGTTTCTGCATCTCTTCTGCAAGGAAAAAGAACATTAGAAATGTAAGCCAATCTGTCCCAGTTCCCACAAGTTCTACCCGTGGGAGTGATGTGAGATTGTCTTTTTCTTTTTTAAGCCACTTTATCAAAATCAGATTGACATACCAAAAGTTATAGATATTTAATGTATACAACTTGATATATTTGAACATAAGTGATACACTCTTAAAACAATCACCATAACTAATGCATTAAACTTTTCCATCACCTCCAGAAGTTTCCTCTCACCTCCTTTATTGTTGTTGTTGTTGTTGCTATCGTTTTTCCTTTTGAGGTAAGAGCACTTAAGGTAAAATCTAACCTCTTAACACATTTTTAAGTGTACAATACAGCAGTGCTAATCACAGGCCCTATGTTGAGTTGCTTTTAAAGAGACGCCTTCCCTCCTACTCCATACTATGTTGCCAAGGAGCAGGCCCAGAGAGAAGCTGGGGGCAGGAGCAAAACACAAGCTTAAGCTTCCCTGGGTCCTATATTGAGGGAAGGCTAGAGCCCTGGAATGGAATTTGGAGCTCTGAGCTACATTTCATGTTCTGCCACCAGGAGGGTGACCTTACTTAATTCATATAATCTCTTGAGATTAACTATGGAACATGGTGATTGAATTAGAAAATCTCTAAGTCCTACCCACATTCTAAATATTATGTTTCCTGAACACCATTAAGAAGTCACAGGCAATTCCAAAGGGCCTGCAAAGGCTGACACTCTCTGCACATCCTTGGGAACTACCCTCTCACCCAAAGGAGAAAGCCAGCCCCCTTCCCTGTGGTCACCTCTTTGCCCAAACATGGCACTTCTCCACTTGATCTCCTACCTCGTTCCTGCCAATTATGACTCTCCTCAAAAATCAAGCCTGTTCCCAAAGATTGTGGATTTTCCACCCCAAGAGATATTCACAGCCTTCCTGTAAGGAAACACAGTCCAATAGAAAGAACGGATAGTTATCTTACTCATCAAGTCAATTTACTCTTTGTGAGGCTGGCTTATCTCATCTGTTTACTAGGGATAATAATGCTGTCTACGCTCAGTGCTTTTGTGAAAATGACGTGCAATGATCCACAGACAATGCTTAGCATAGTGTTAATACCTAGTATAAACTCAACGAATACTCATCATTATTACCATGGAAAGGGGACAGCTAATAATATCTGCCTCACAGGAAAATGGAGGGGATAAGAATTGGTATGTGTGACAAGCAAGTCACAGATTTTCTTAAAGCACTCACTTGGTCACATCTGCCTAGAAGCTTGGAGTTTAAGAACCGGGTGCGCTCGCTCGCTCTCTCTCTCTCTCTCTCACATACACACACACACACACACACACACACACACACACACACACACACACACACACACACACACCAGTACCAAGACTAAGATTGGAGGACAGAAAAAAGAAAGACAGAATGATGGGTGGAAGACATGGAATTCAAACAGGATTGAAATGAACTTGAAATGACTGATCTATGCACTGAAGAAGGAATGCCAACAGAAAGGCCGGTTTCCAAAGTTGTCCCAGGAAAATATGTTTGAAGTTTAAAAGGTGGTGAATTAAAAGGGAAGGCTTATGACCACTGCTTATTTCTTCTTCACAAAGATCAGCATGCTGGGAGTATGTCTGCCTTCCTGTTTGCAATAATCTGGAAGGGCTTCCTGGAGGAGGCCCCTGGGTGTTTGGGGAACTGAATCAACTCATAGAGGTGGTACCAGACAGCTCCTTCCATGAGAGGCTTCCAGAACTGGGAGTCTCAGGCAAGTGGTCACTGTAGTGAGAATATCTTTCCCAGTGAAACAGGGTCTCCAGGGACTGAGGCCCATAAAAATATTGCTCTTTTCCCAACCATGTTTATGTTGGCCAGGTCAGTGAAGGGTACCAGTTTAGGTAGCCAGTTTCCCCAGAGAGCCACAGTCTGAGGTTGCCCAATAAATAGGGCAGCTCCCATCCCCCAGTAATTTCATCTAGCTCCCATCGCTCAGCAGCACATCATCTATTCCAGACTAGATTGATAAGAAATAAGAGAAGAACATAAATGTGTTTGTTTCTGGGAATAGATATTTCCTTAGGCATTTTATTATTTTAAGAAAAGAGTTACACTCAATATATATTTATGACCAGACATTACCAGCATCACATATTTGGGATTCTTTCCGACTACAATCATCACCAATTCTCCCAACTGGTGCTGAAGCTCTTGCCCAGTGTCCATTTCTTAATATCATTTAATGTTAAACATTCAAGAATCATTTACAATGTTCCAGGCCCTAAAATATAAAAGGTACAAAAATAAATAAATAATAGTGGTTACTACAGTGAGCATCAGGTATAAAACCAAATTTATTGAGAGCCCTCAGTACCCCCATGGAGGAATGAACAGGATACAGCAGCCACAGAGGAGGGAGAAAGCAGCTTTGTTGTGGGGATGAGGGAAAGCGCCATGCACAGGTGACATTTAAACTGGGGCCAGATTGAGGTTTGGGAGAAGTAAGTGGGATTAAAGCAGAGGGCGTATATGGAGGCATTAAAGAGCAAGGTGACTTCTGACACTGCAAGAAGCATTTATTGCCAGAACATAGGCCATGTGTTCCCCTGAGTTCTCCTGAGACAAAGCCTAAGAGCAGCTACTCTACTGGGGGCTGGAGCAACAGTCAGGGACAGGAGTTTGGAGCAGGGAAAACAGAGAGCCCAAACAAACATGCATTGTAGAATTGTCCACATAATAGGTGACTGTTGCTAGTTCTTGCGGGACTTATCCATAATCTTCTTCCTGGGAGAAGTAAATTAAAAATAATTATTCTTCCTGTATTCAATTAGTTAAGAATTGCTCCACGGAGCATTAACTCCCAATACTGGCAGACTTCCTATGCTTGAGTATTCAGTGGGTTCCCATGGTCCCCCAGGAAAGAGCATAAAAGGAGAAACCGCAGGTGAGAAGGAAGTGGCGCATGGCACAGGGCCCAGATGAGCCTCTGACAGGTTGCGCCTGCACAGAGCTGTAGCTATAGCAGTGGCTGAAATAGGAAATGAAGTTGCACGGATTTTAAATGATTTGCAATTGTCTCAGGAGCCAAGGCTGAATAGGTAAGTTAAAAATCTTAAAGGAGACTCCTCCCACTTTGGGGAAGACAGAATAGACATATTTTCCTATTTATTTACTAAGAACATGTTTCTATTTATTTGCGAAGAACAACTAAAAACCTGGGACATTGTGTATAAAGCAAAATTTCAAGGGTAGACAAGAGGCAGACCATCTAAGGAGCTTGGAATATGAGGAATGACATCATGAAACAGAGGAATGGCATAGTGGTCATTCTTAATGATTTGATTTTCTTCTTACCTTATATATCTGACTTGGAGCTGAAGAAACTGACAACACAGCAATGCTAATGTGCACAGACAGTAAAAGCCTCATCAAATGCCTGCTCTCTCTAGCCAAAGAAAGGGAATCCCAGCAAGGTAGAAGACCTCAAAATACCACTTTACTCCAGACAAACCCTTCAGAAAAAAACAAAAAAACTTTGACCTCACCACCCCCTAACTCATGTCAGCAAAGGCCAAATGGAACCCAGACTTCCAACATTATGAGGCTGTAATGAGGCACCCAACACCCTCTTCAGGGTGGTGGTATCAGAGAATGTTGAATAGGCAGTTGAGACTGTCATTCCTGCCAGTCAGTAATGAGCGGCCCCTTTCTCCATAGTGTCAGTGGAAAGCATGTGGGTGCCTGGATTTCAACCATCACTGGGCAGTAATGAGATGTCCATCCCACCCTCAATGGGATGATGGCAGAGGAGGCCTAGTAGAGAATCAAGAAGTTCACCATCACTTAAGAGTAATGAGGGCCCTCACACCAAATTGTCATAAAAATAAGGTGGAGAAAATTTCCAGCTTCACTCAACAGTAATAAATACCCCCACCACCAGTATCAATGGAGACCAAATTTAAAAGAATAAAAATTAAATGCAATATGTTCTCCAAATACAGTGTGATCACAGAGAGATAACTTGGAAATTCCTCAATAATTAATAGATAACAAAAGAAGTTTCAATGGAAATCAGAAATAACTTGAAGTGAATAAAAAATGAAAATAAAACATATCAAAATTTGTGTTACACAGATAAAACAGGGCTGAGAAGAACATTTGTAGCTTAAATGAATATATTATAAATGAAAAAAAATTCTTGTATCAATCATCTAGGCTATTTTAAACCTTTCTACATATGCTTGAGATATACTGAGATAGTTAGAAGAATCCACTGGTAGATAACATATGTAATGTTAAAATTTTTAAAATGTGTATTCATTACATGCTGTATGACATTACAGGCACTAATGCCAAGCATTCTGTAAATACAATAATAGTAAGATCCTAACCTAATAAAGAATTTCAAAGACCATCCATTTTATTCTTACTCTTTATCCTTTAAAAAAAAAAAAAAAAAAAAAAAAAAAAAAAAAAGGAACCTAGAAATGCAATAAAGCAGGAAAAAAAGTAAAAGACATACAAAGGTATAAAATATCCCTATTTGTACATGATATTATTACATACATATTATTACTTACATAGAAAAATATTCAAATAATCTATTTTTAAAAAACTTCCTAAAGCTAAGTGAGCTCAGCAAAGTTATCACATTATACATTTATCAAGACTGAGTGGTGTGTGTGTATGTGTGTGTGTGTGTGTCTGTGTGTGTGTGTGTGTACATGTGTCTGTGTGTCATCTTTTCATTATCCATTTATCTGTTGATGGGGATTTAGATTAATTCTATATCTTGGGTTTTATGAATAATATTGCAAAGAGCATGGGCATACAAATATCTCTTTGAGGTACTAATTTGAGATATATATATATCCAGAAAAGGGATTGCTAGATCGTATGGTAGTCCCAACTTTATTTTTTTGTGGAACCTCCATTATTATTTTCCACAATGACTGTATTGATTTATATTTCTACCAATATTATACAAGGGTCCCCCTTTCCTCACCAAAACTTATCATTTTTTCTTTGTTTTTGATAATAATCATTCTAACAAGTGCAAGCTGATAATTTTGATTTGCATTTCACTGTTTATTGATGATAAGCATCTATTCAAATACCTTTTAGCCATTTGTGTCTCTTCTCTTGAGAAGAAACTATTCAGATTCTTTGCCTACTTTTTAATTGGCTTATTTGGTTTTTGTTATTGAATTGTGTTTTCTATCTATTTTGGATAGTAGCCCCTCACCAGATGTATCGTTTGCATTTTCTATCACATGGGTTGTCTCTTCACTCAATTGTTTCTGAACATAAGATTTAAAATTTTATGCCATCTCATTTGTCTATTTTTACTTTTGTTGTCTATGTTCTGGGTTCATATCCAAGAAATGTTTATGCAGATCAATCTCTAGAAACTTTTTCGTTATGTTTTCTTCCTGTAGTTTACAGTTTCAGATCTTAAATTTAAGTATTTAATCTACATTTGATTTTATTTCTGTATATGGAGTAAGATAAGGGTCCAATTTTGTCTTTTGCATATGGATATCCAGTTTTCCCAACATCATTTGTTGAAGAGACTCTCTCCATCGTGTGTTCTTGTCCCTTCATTGAGTGTCAATTGGCCATAAACATGTAGATTTATTTCTGGGCTTTCTACTTTATTACATTGGTTTATATATCAGTTTATATACTAGTTTTTATGCAAGTACTATCCTGTTTTTATTACCATAGCTTTGTGTCACGCCTCCCACTTTGTTCTTTTTGCTTAAGATTACTTTCACTAGTAGGGTTTTTGTTTATGTGTTTGTTTGTTTGATATTTGTTTGTTTTTAATGCCATAGGAATTTCAGGATTGTTCTATTTCTGTGAAGAATGTCGTTGAAATTTTGATAGGAATTTCATTGAGTCTATAGATCACTTTACATAGTATGGAAACTAGTAGTTTCATAGTTTCAAGTCTTAAGCTTATGTTTTTAATCCATCTTGAATTGATTTTTGTATATGGTAAAAGATAGGGATCTAGTTCCATTTTTCTGCATATGGATGTCTAGTTTTTTTCAGCACCACTTATTAAAGAGATTGTCCTTTTCACATTGTATGTTCTTGGTATCTTTGCCAAAAATGAGTTGGTTGTAAATGTGTGGATTTATTTCTGAGTTCTCTATTCTGTTCCATTGGTCTATGTGTCTGTTTTTATGATAGCATTATGTTGTTTTAGCTACTGTAGCTTTGAGATATAATTTGAAGTTAGGTGGTGTCATGCACCTAGTTTTGTTTTTTGTTTTGCTCAGGATTGCTTTAGCTATTCAGGGTTTATTGTGGGTCCATACAAATTTTAGAATTGTATTTTACTACTTTTGTGAAGAATGTCATTGGTATTTTGATAAGGGTTGCATTACCTGTAGATTGCTTTAGGTAGTAAGACATTTTAACAATATTAATTATTCCAATACACAAGCATACGATACATTTCCATTTGCGTGTGTGTCTGCTTTGATTTTGTTCATGGATGTGTTATGGTTTTTCTTGTAGAGATCTTTCACTTGATAAATTTATCCTAAGCTATTTTGTTTTTTGTAGCTATTATAAATTGAATTGCTTCCTTATTTTATTTTTCAGATTAATTGCTGATAGCATATAGACATGCTACTGATATTTGTATGTTGATTCTGTGTCCTGCAACTTTATTGAATTCATTTATCAGTTTTTACATTTTTCCTCCTCCTTTTTGTTTTCTTGGAATTAATTTATGGAATAAACTGGAATGTTTTGTAAGTTTGTTTGTTTTAATATGAATATTTCTGACTTCCTTTCTTGGTATTTTAACTTGCCTGTTTGACTGCTGCCTTGACTATTTTCAGTAAACTCGTGGTGGGATATGACCCAAATTTGTTATTTTGGTAAAATACCCAGTGTTCTCTAATTTTGTTTTGTTATTATTTTTCTTCAATTTATAATTTCTATAGGTACATTATAGGTGATATATTTATGGGGTCCATGGGATTTTTAAAATATTTTAACACTTTAGGCTCAGGGGTACAAGTTTTTTATATAGGTAATGTTTGTTATATAGATAAACTCATGACTTGGGAGGTTTGGATTACAGATTATTTCCTCATCCAGGTACTAAACATAGTACCCAATAATTTTTTTAAAAATTTTTCTGAACCTCTCTCTCCCCTCATCCTCTACTCTCAAATAGGGCCCAGTGTCTATATTTTTCCTCTCTCTGTCCATGTGCCCTCACTATTTAGCTCCCACCTATAAATGAGAAAATGAGGTGTCTGGTTTACTGTTCTTGCAATGGTTTTCTAAGAATAATGGCCTCAGGTCCATCTGTGTTCCCACAAAGTATATTATTTCATTCATTTTTATGGCTGCACAATATTCCATGCTATATTTGTACCACATTTTCTTTAACCACCCTACTGTTGATGGACATTTAGGATGATTAAATGTCTTTGCTTTTGCGATTAGCGCTGCAATTAACATATCCATCCATGTGTGTTTATGGCAGAATGATTTATATTCTTTTGGTCATATACCCAGTAGTGAGATTGCTGGGTCAAATGGTAGTTCTGTCTTGTTCTTTTGAGGATTTGCCACACTGCTTTCCACAATGGTTTAACTAGTTTACACTTTCACCAACAGTATATAAGTGTTCCCTTTTCTCTGCAACCTCATCAGCATCTTTTACGTTTGAATTTCTAATAATAGTCATTTTGACTGGTGTGAAATGGTATCTTATCATGGTTTTCATTTGCATTCCTCTAATTATTAGTGACATTGCACTTTTATTCATATGCTTGTTGGTCACATGTATGTATTCTTTTGAAAAGTGTCTGTTTATGTCCTTTGTCCACTTTTTAATGGGGTTGAGCTTGGAATTTTCTGGGTCTCACCTGAATCCAGAATGTCTCAGATTCTCACCCAAGGCCCATGACATACTTACTACCTGGGTATTGCTGCTGGTTATTCAGGCCCCAAGGTCGCTTTAGTCATCAGGTGATCAATCCTGCCAGGACTGGGCCCTTACCTGTAGGGCAGTAGGTTTCCTTCTGGCCCAGAGTGTGCCTAGAAATGTTGTCCAGGAACTCAGGCCTGGATTGGGGGCCTCACAACTCTATCTGGTGCTCTGCCTACTGTGACTGAGCTGGTATCCAAGATGAAAGACAAAATCCTCTTGCTCTCGCTTATATTTTTCTCAAGCAGAAGGAAGAAGTCACTTTTGTTGCTATGAGCTGCACTGCCTGGGACTGGGGGAAGGGCAGCACAAGCACTCCTTTAGCTGCCCCAGCTGGTATCTCACTAGGTCAAGTTCCCACCCACTTCCACTGGCTCTGAGCCCAGCACAACTAGAACTGGCCTAGGAGTTACCATCCTTTCTGTGTCCCAGACTTTCTTTCAAGTTTACTGAGGACCCAAGAGCACTTTAGCTCAGGGTGGTGAGGCTTGCTGAAACTCAAGTGCTGACTGCTGGCATGTGTGATTCCTCTCTGGCCAGGGCTGATCTAAATCTTCCGTCTATGGGTGTACATTGGCTGAGTTCTGCCTGGTGTTGCCTTCCACTGCCAGGGCAGCACTGAGTTCAAAGCACAGTCTCACAGCCACTGTGTTCTCCCTCCCCCAAGTGCTCGGATTCTCTCTCCACACCATGTGTTCACTGCCAAGGGATGGGGTATGGGTGGCGACAGCAATTCAAGACTATCTTTCTACCCTCATCAATGCCCCTTTCAGCAATATGATGTTAAAACCAGGTACCGTGATTGCTCACCTGATTTTTGGTTCATATGAAGGTGCTTTTTTGTGTAGATAGTTGTCAGATTTGGTGTTCCTGCATGGAGGATGACTGGAGAAGCCTTATATTTGGTCATCTTACTCTACTCCCTCTGGTATTTTGTGATACTTTCAACCCTTGATGATTTTTCCCATTATTTCACTAGGTAAAGAAAAGTTACTCTAATTCTATTATTTCCTATTAGCTATCATACTTTTATAAAGAAGAATAATGCCCATGCCTTCTACCCATCATGTTTCTACAGTAGATCTGCAGTCTATTTCTTTGGGATCACTGTTTCCTGTTTAAAACACAGCATTTTGTACTAAGCTCTTCAGGATCACTTTATGTATTAAAAGAAAGTATTATCTGGTTAAATTTGAAAAAGAAAACAGTGTTGCATGCTATCAAGTGGAACTTTTGTCATCAATAAGCTTAATTTACAGTCATTCCCCCTTTTCATTTAAAAGGAAGTACATTTTAAAATCTGATTCCCATAGTCGTATTTGCTAGTGCGCATGAACCAATGGCAGCTGATACCAGAGGTGGTGTTTTTCCAATAATTTTGTGTTTTCTCCTTGTTTTCTATGCATATTGAAGAGATCACATCTCTCCAGAGCCCTCAGCTGCCTCCCTAGGATGCTCCCTCCACAGTCCTACGTCAACATCTCCTTCTTCCAGCCACCTGCTTTTCTCATGATTGGCATCCCAGGGCTGGAGGCCATTCACGGCTGGCTCGCAATCCCCTTCTCCTCCATGTACACTGTGGCCCTCACTGGAAACTGCCTGATCCTCCTGGCTGTGAAGAGGACCCCCAGCCTACACCAGCCCATGTACTACTTCCTGTCCATGCTGGCACTTACTGATGCGGGCCTCACCTTGTCCACACTGCCCACCACCCTGGCTGTGCTCTGGTTTGACTATCGGCTCATTGGTTTCAATGCCTGCCTGGTCCAGATGTTCTTCCTGCACTCCTTCTCTGTGGCGGAGTCCTCAGTGCTCCTGGCCATGTCCTTTGACCGCTTTGTGGCCATCTCCAACCCCCTGCGCTATGCAGCTGTCCTTACAAATAATGTCATAATCAGGATTGGGCTGGCCATTGTGGCTCGAGCCACTGTGTCCCTCTTCCCTGTGCCCTTCTTGCTGAAGCGACTGAACTACTGCCCTGGAAAGATCCTCTTGTCTCATTCATTCTGTTTCCATGCAGATGTCATGAAACGGGCCTGCGCTGACATCACAGTCAACATCCTTTATGGGCTGTATGTGGTTCTGTCCACAGTGGGTGTCGACTCCTTGCTTATTGTCCTGTCCTATACACTTATTCTTTATACAGTGATGGGGCTGGCCTCTCCCAGGGAGCGTATTCGGGACCTCAACACCTGTGTGTCTCATATCTTAGCTGTCCTGGTTTTCTACATTCCAGTCATAGGTGTGTCTATGATCCACCGTTTTGGGAGGCACCTGCCCCAAGCTGTCCATGCCCTGGTTGCCTATGTGTATCTGGTGGTGCCTCCTGTGCTCAACCCCATCATCTATAGTGTGAAATCGAAGCCCATCAGGGAGGCCATGCTCAAGGTACTGAGAAGGAAGAGGCAAGGCTGATGAAATAAGAAAATAACCTAAGGATCTGGAAGAAAAATATGGCCAAACAGTCATATCTTATGCCCAGAAAGCCCTTACTCAAATATCTTGCCCAGACACATTATAAAGTGTATGACAAGCAATTGCTTGCCTTCAGACGGAGCAGTAAAGAACAGTCTTGATTCCTTTATACACTCACTAACCTCAGATATTTTCTTCAGTTTTATTTGTGCAAGAATCTGTGCCTATCACTAAAAATGTTAAAAAGTGAACCATATGGCCTTTTTCATTCACTGGTGACAGCACAATCATAGTAATGTGTAAAGAGAATGTCATAGGCACACATAAAGTGTTATAGGAACTCAGAAGAGAGTTTACTGGCCCTGCAAGAGGGAATAAGAAATGATTCAGATGAGAAAGAAGCTGAAAGGTAAATAGGGGGTTGCCTAACAGGGAGTGGGGAACCAACTAATAAAGAAAAAAGAATACTTTTAAAATGTTTTAGAATAATTTGCTGTACTTGTAGAAAAGCAAGTAGTCAGATGTGATTCAGCACAATCTATGTGCCTGTGTTGGAAGAACAACAGGAGATGAGCAATAAATGACTGGCAGTGAAGAGACCTCTTGAGACCTTTCAGACGTAATTGAGACATTTAACCTACATTCTCTGACTAAAAGTCTGCCATGGAAGACTACTGCACCACAGAAGACTGCACAGACTTAACTGTATTATGGATTAGGAAGGTGAAAGTAGAATAGAAAAAGGAGGCAAGAAAACTACTTAGGAGATTGTTATTACATTCTAAGACAAAGAGAATGGATGATAAATTTGTCTGTGTCATCCTAATGAAAAAAATATTAATAGATGCATTTTTAATTGTCTGTCTAGATTACCAATCCTGTCCACTGAAAGTGCCCATAGGCAATAACACCGGGAGCAGTGAGCAGATCTAGCACCATTGATTTCTAATTATATTTCCCAGTACAATTAATTTGAAATCCTTGAATAAATGCCTATTTCTAATCATAGAGCAGGGAAGACATTAGATGATACTGGAATAGACTGTGCCTAAAATTAAAGAACACAAGGACAATAAGCCCATGTAACAGAAAAATAAAAAAGAACCAGAAACATATTTGAAAGAGTTACCAGTGACCAACGGTACATTGAATATTGGAATACTACATCACAGCACTATTCACAATACTAAAGACATGGAATCAACCTAAATGCCCAACAAGGGTAGATTGAATAAAAAAAAAAAAATGTAGTACACATACACTAAGGAATACTTCACAGCTATAAAAAAGAAGATCACGCACTTTGTAGCAACATGGATGGAGCTGGAGGACGTTATCCTAAGCAAACTATCCCAAGAACATTAAACCAAATATTGAATGTTCTCACTCATAAGTGGAAGCTAAATATCAAATATATGTGAACGCAAAGAAGAGAACAACAGACACTGGGGTATACGTGAGGACAGAGGGTGGGAGGAGGGTCAGGATTGAAGAACTACCTATCAGTACTGCGCTTATTACCTGGGTAATGAAATAATCTGTACCCCAAACCTTTGTGACACACAATTTATCTATATAACAAACCTGCACATGTAGCCTTAAAACTGAAATAAAAGTTAAATAAAAATTGGTATACTAAAAATCATTAATAATTTTGACAGCAATACAGCAAACAAATTGGTTTATTTAAATGTATGTGTCCATAGTGATACTCAAAACAGAGAGAGAGAAAAGAAAAAGAAAAAAAACTCTTCCCTACAGTGGAATGTCATGTATAAATGCAAAAGTTTATAGATTTTGAAAAATACCTTTTGTAGCTTTTAACATAATTTAAGACAAATCACAAATGTTTAAAAGATGTTGGAAAACAGAATATTCACATAATCTCAATGTATCACTGTACAGGTTACTGACTAAGAAAA